TGCTGAGCTTTCGGTGTTATACTCATCCCTCAGAATATTTCGTGGTCATACCGAAAATCAGTGTAAAACACGGTTTATTTGTACACAACGTAAAATATACAATGGTCAGACCGGTGACATACCGATGCGGGTATTTCGGCTCACGTCTCACGGGCCTTCTTCAAGGTAGTTGGATGGTATAGTTTGACGAATTTGGTTGGTCGTCCGCAGCAGTTGATGGTTTCAAAGCCAGAAGGTCAGAAACGTCGGTATTGGTCAGTCTTGCCATGTTTCACGCGTTTTTCGTCCCTCATATTGTTACGTTGCCAGCGCGCTATCAGTGACATAGACTCATCTGATTACGAGGTCCTAGTTGTGACGTCATCGGTGATCGTCCGTCTAATTTTTTGGACTCACGTTTCGAGTTCTACTCCGCTTATCGTATGTGATGAATGTCAATATGACAAGAACGGAGACATGACCATCAATTGACTTTCTTTATGTAGGAGAAGTTCCGTAAGCCTCTGTAGTAGAGGTCGCTGTTCGTTGCCCTCATTCTTTAAAAAAAACCTTTAGGACGGCCTCTTTTTGTTCGCGGCCTGTCGCCGTCGCCTTTCCAAAAAAACGACTGATCAATATCGGGACATTTTTGTCATACCAGGCGCGTCCGCGGGAAATTGAACTGCGGGTTCGGAATTGACTGACTGACGTCACTGTGAGGGGAATCGTAAATAGAACTCAACTACATTCGGCAATAGTCGCCGACGGCAGTTTCGACTTTTATCTTTTGCTTAATGAGGCGTGAGAGTAATTGTTTAGCTTCGTTGATCATCACTCACTGCCCAACAACAACGTCGGGATTGTATGTGTCACGAAGGGCAGCATACGGCAACAGTTATTTAATAAAGGATAAATGATAATTCTTTAATTTACTAAACTCAACGCTCCAGCAAACAAATGTAAGAACAGGAATCCTCCGGAGTTTTGGTTATATCCGGGCGGAGAAGCATCAAAGTATGTTCGCAGTCGGAGTTTGTCAAACAAAGCATAACTCCTCCTAGACCAGATTTCGAGGCATATCGTCCCGTCGTTTGCTCTCGGATGCCTAACCTATCGAGGCCACTTAAGCGTAGCACGTTTCCAAGACGGCGGCGTGGTATTGCTTTTCACGGCGTCCTTCTTTTCATGAGGTTTCTGGTGAGGCGCTGATCTTCATTTCCATGCCATCAGCAGGAGTACCTTATTGTAAAGGCAGAGTTCACGGCGTGTAGTCTCCTGTTTCCTTTCCTTCACCTTGACTAGTACTCATTCAATCAACCTCAGAAGAAGGAGAGAAGAGTGATGCCCACCGGAACTATTCGGTGCTCAGTCCCATGCTGTTCCGACAGACTAACCTCGGTCTGAAGTAACGTGTGGTAAATTTCTTGCTCAAAGGAATTCGTCGTTAAGACAGTTTACAGTATGTGTTCATTGTCAAAGTTTACGTTCCAACCGTATGCTCGTCATGATCCTGAAGGTAGTCTTTACATATCCTTTTTGTCAAGGCATTTCTAATGAAATAACCAAAATATTGGAAGTTGTTGGAATCGAATAAATTTATCTAAAAGAAGCACTGGTCAGGTCTGTAAGCATTTTTCAATGCAATGGCATAGCTGTAAAGATTACAGCTGAAAAGTCATCACTAGCACTACTTAGGTTAATGTAAAGCTATTATAGCAAATCTAATTTAAGGTTGAGGGAACGAAACTTAGGACAGATGGTTTGGTACAGATGCAGCAGCTTTGTCCATTGTTAAGGTCAAAAGTGAAGCTCTAGAATTGCTTTCTTATTCTTGTTCTTTAACCATTCAACTAGTTCGTTAGGCAGACATGGTTTCGTGTCTGCTACTCAACTGTGTCCGATTTTCGAGGCCGGAAGTGTTCACCCTGGCAAGAACGATGGTTTGTTGTAGACACAGGGCGCGGTTTAAGATGTCATGTTGAATATCTTTCTGGCCTAGAGGATGCAACTGATATTGTAGGTTGAGCATAGAAAAGAAGTAAAGCCTGTATCCCCATGCGATGGGACTAGTTCTAGCATTCTTGTATCAGTCAAGTTAATTGTGACCGCTGTTGTCCATTTTTACGTTTTTTGCCCGTTATATTTAAAGCAAAAACCGGACAGCACTGTCTGAGAAGCATAGCGATTTTTCTCTTTCCGTATCACTCATTTATCAGCCTCAGAAGGAAAACGGATGAGTAACCTCGACCGGGGCTCTTAACCAGGATCGTTCGGTTCTGAGTCCGACGTTCTACCAACTTGGTGACTCTGATTTGATAGGGAAGCGGGTTCAATCATCTGACTGCTTTTATATATGACACAACTAAGTAAGCCGCCTTCTTCCGTATCACTCAGACGTTTAGTCTCATGAGGAACCCTTCAGACACAGCATATCTAAGGGGGGGTGGTTGGTCGATTTGCGTATCGTGACCGCAACATCTCCAAAGAAGGCACAATCCAATCAGGGTTAGGTCACTTTTGTTCGGCATGAAAACGGTTCTTCTAAGAACGGCTTAAATTCGCAAAGCAGCGTTGGTTTCGAAGCGAAATGAGGGTTAAGTGGCAGGACTGGGACCAATTAAGGAATGACCGTATTCTATGTTAAGAAAAGAAGAGGCTAGCCCTTTAGTCAGGCTGTTTGTGCAAAAACCATTTACCATACCATACCACGCCAGTCCATGAGCTTCGACAGTCTGAACCCACGAAACGCGGCAGACGAGAGACAAGTCAGACTGGTTTTGATGAGGAGTATTTTCTTCTACGATGCCTTACAGCAAAACGTTTGAAAGCAGTGACATACCGTTTTTGCAGAGGGTTTGGGCTGATTATTTTATAGAGCACAATCAATACCCCATTGTTTTTGTGTCCTCAACCACGAATCAACAAGTTTGGTACAGTTCAAAAAGCAATGCCACATTCGAAATCCTCATACCATATCATAATCTGATTCTTAATATGACTTGTTCTTGTGGTGGGTGCTCCATGAAAGCAGATCGACGCTCCTATAATCCTCTCTCTATTCTTGGGCGTTTTCTGGTCAGTGGTGATTTCGTTATCCATTCGGCTTAGAGTCCTCGTTGAATATTGCTGGTATCTCCACAGCCTTCAACCATCCCAACGGATTCAGAGAACTTTGTTAGTTTAGGCCTTGATCAGATATCTCTGGCCAGTGGCCGATGACCACCTTTTCAAATTACCGTAACCGGCTCCTGCCACTACTTCCAGTCCCTCGCTTGAGATGGAGATTAGAACCTGATAATCAGTCTAAGATCAGAAGTGGAATTTGAAACCATTTTTTCAGTCGCCAGCGTAGGCACGCTACAAACTAAGCTACCGTACCATGAAATACGCCAAGGACGAGAGACATGCCGGTCTGCGCTTAACCATGATTTTAGCTTAAGCAGAAAAGCTGTTATTACTCAGCTACCGGCTTTCGGAACCACATCTCGAAGCAGCGCTGAACTTCCAGCTAAAAGCCTTAAACTTGGCGTTTCAAGGCATTTTTTACTGGTCAAAGTAAATGAGAGGAAATCGTTGCCGATAAGTGCAAATTAGCAAGTTCGTTAATGCTTCTTCGACCAGCCGTCCGGCTTAATTAAAGGCCGACCTGGGCGTCTGTCAGTCAAGTCGTTGGATTCGATTCGACGGGGTCTGGTCTGGTCCCGTCCGATTTGATCCGATCCGATCCGATCCGATCCGATCCGATCCGATCCGATCCGATCCGATCCGATCCGATCCGATCCGGCCTCCCTGTTCCACCACAGACGTGCTTCCTCATCGTCGTCTTCGCCGCAGGCACCGAAATGTCATTAACGTAAAGTGAAAACGGTGACGCGTTCGAAGCCATTAACTTTAATGAAGCCACACACATCTGCCTTCTGCAAGTTCGTGCCATGCGGCAATCAGAAAGTTTTCCCTCACTTATTGTTCTTCTCCTCGCACCTTTGAAGTATAACGTGCCTACGAACGCCTTCGGTTTTTGTTGAGCTCGAACCAGGTTTGGAAGTAGACCAAACAGAGATGGATTCAATATGAAAAGAGGAAAACTAACAGACCTGTTTTTG